AACCAATAACAGCAAGAAGAAATTCAATTTTATGATCCCATGAATCTCTTGGAATAGTAACTTGTTGTATTGCTGGTTTCCATGAAACAGGTAAATCAGTACTTGTTTCCATTGTTTTTAATTCCATTGTTGAAAGTAATGATGTTTCGTTACCATTTTCATTACATACAATTTTAAGATTTGATGATGTTAAACGAATACGTTCTTCATTTTTATTACGATCATCATTACTAAGTGTTGGTTTACGTTTACTTAAATTTTTTAATTGTTGTAAATGATAACTAAGTTCAGCATTTGTTGAACTATGTGAACGAACTGGTGGTCTAGTTTTTGTTTTTGTTTCATTTAATGGAGATGTTTCTGTTAATGTTTGATAATTAAAACCACTTGAAGATTCTCTTGCCAATGGTGCTTCAACACTATGAGCAATATCTTCATCAGATGTAGCTCGTTGTGTATTAGTACTTGTTCCTAATGTTGAACTATTACTAGCTGATGATGTTATCTTTTTTGTAAGTAAAGGCATTGATGGATGCTTTGGTGGTGTTGTTGAACTCATTGTATAGACACGTTAAATGACGATGTACACTGATAATAATAATTATACTGACGTTAAAAATGATCTAAATGATTGTTGTGGACAAAAAAAAATAGATATTATTATAAAACTCGACAAAAGCACAATAGCAAGAATGTTATTGTACTTCTTGTCAGTTTGAAGAAACCGAATAAATGAAGATCAGTTCTATCTATTCATATATTTTTTTTCCTCGAAGTCTTTCTTTTGTTGTTTATCATTACTGAACCGAGAGAGATGAATTTCTTTCTTTTTTTTTTTTTTGGTTTGAAGAAATCTGTTCCTACTCAGATTATATGCTGTTAGTAATTAACATTTGTTTCTCTCATTCTGTCTTATTTGAATCCCTCGTTTATATTCCAGTTGTCACTGAAGCGAAGTGATTTGCCTTTTTGATTAGACAGTCAGATTCAACGACATTGTCTCGTTTTCTTTTGTCTTAATGGGAAAATGAGCTAGAAAGACATATAAAACGACGCAAAAAAGAAGTGTGATTTGATATCATCATATGTCCATCTTTCTTTTTTCTTTTTTTAATAACCTTGAATAATAAGAACAAAAAAAAACACATTGACAAAGATGCATTCGATCTTTTTATAATTTTTTGCTATTAGGTTTTGTTTTTTAGCTTTATTTATAATATTTTTGAACCAGTAAAATACATCATTATATATTGCGAGTGTTTTTTTTTTCTTTAGCAATAAAAATTACAATTATTTGTTCCTCAATTGAATGGAAAAAATAGATATGTTCAACAAGTATACACATTATTAAATCCGACTATCATTTGTTCGATTATTGTAAATAGAAATTTATAGAAGAAATGTTTTAAAAAAAAGATCGAAATGATGAATTCATGTTTTCTGTTCTTTTCAATTTTTGTTCTATATTAGTACTGATTATTAGTATTTTATTAAAAAGTCAAGAAGAATGTGTAGATATACAAAGTATCATCAATATGTATTTAAGAAAATATACTTATCAATAATTTGATTCATTTATTGTTATAGTATATACAGAATGGTCTATAAGTAGTTTTACAATAAAAAATGTCAATATCTCCGTTCTGTTTCACTCTATGGGGCTAATTGCTTTTTGGATAGGGAATGTGCAAGTCAAAATAACTCTCGCTTTTACTTAAGACAAGATAGATATCTATATCAATGGTGAGAGAAAAAAAACAACTACCCATCACAGAACGAAACACACGATCGAACATTTTAGTTGAAAGATGAATATATGCACACATAGATCTCTTAGGACTATCATCAACATTGTAAAAGATAGAAATTCATTATTGAAGTCAATGATGATATTTTTAAATGTTATTCTTATAGAAAAAAAACGCTAAAGTCTCCTCTATTACAGAAAAAACAATTAGCTCTATAGAGTGAAACAAAATGTAGATATTCAAATTTTTATTGTAAAACTACTTATGAGCCACTCTAGATATATATATATCAATGATTAAGATAGGCAAAGATAGTTACAAGATTTATAATTAATAAATTGATGGCTACATAATCAATAATTCAGAAGTAGTTTGTTTGTTTTTTTTGTATAGAATATATATTCTTGCTGTATAACGGTGACATTGGATGATTGATATGATTGCAATAATTAGTAAAATAGTTTAGTTTTTGTTCAATAGGCAAGAGCAAAATTTGGAAAAAAAAATGTTTATTTTAGTGGTTATTAATCGCAGCTGATTGTTGTACTACAAAATAATAAGTATTTGTTATGCACATCATGAAATATTAATTGAACAGTATTCTACTTGCTAGATCAATATATGAGATTGCATCTTAATATTTAAAAAAGGCTACTAGCACAATCCCTCCAGGATTAAAATGTAAAACATGATGAAGTTGCTGATATTATAAAAGAGGAGATTAATCAATATATGTTTCGATTTATGACTTTCTATCTATTGTTAATACATATCAATGATGAAAGATATTAATTGCAATATAGTGCAGCAAGTGTGAAAGAAAAACTGTACAAATATTTACAAAATAATATCATAAATCATTATAAACTAATTGTTTATAAATTCTGAAATTTGAATACAATAATAAATTATGCCTCATATATTATCAATATAATAGAGCAATCAAAAAATTGAAATCTATACAATAAGAATTTCTTATTTCACTTTTATTTGTAAACATAAAAGAAATATAATATAAAATATTTATTCTTTATATTTTTTGTTTTTTAGATTTGATGTAGCATGATTTTTTTGTTAACTATTGTACTAGTGAATTATATATGGTATTGTTTATAAAAATTTTGCTTACTTTCAATTCGTGTCTGTGTTCTAAACTCAAGTAAATTTTCATGTCACATATGACATATAAGTATGTTGTTATATATATATACATATCAGAGCTGTCGGTCTGGCTCTTATGTTTTGGCAATCAAATGTGTCTTAATATTCGAGAGTATTTTGATAAATTCGTTCGATTTCAGTAATAAATATTTGAACTGAACGTCAATTTAGTGTTGTAGGAGTTACATTGATTGATAGAAGAATTTGTTTAGATTAAAAATAATTCGATAGTAGGTTTTTGCATTTGTGCTATTGCAAAAATTGATTATTACATGTAAATATTTTTTTACATACTACATTTTCTTTAATCTCTTCACTATATGTCAAATCATATGTGGTTTTTAGTATTCCGATAACATTTTTTTTCGATTATATAAAATAGAACTGATATGATCAAAAATATTGCGTTAATTCAAGCTTTTCTTTTATGAAAAGTATTTATCATAACAATTTTTTTCTTTTAATTTGATATTTCATAAAAGAACTTTTTATTTTCTTATCTTTATAGAAATAAATACTAGAATGATACAATAATGCAGAGTAATATAATTAAATATATTTGAAAAATCAGAAACATCAATCGATCTATTGTGACCTGCAGACATTCCTAGTCAGATCAGGTTAGAAAAAAAAAGTAGTTTGGTAACATCTCTGGTATACATAGGATGATGTCATATTATGAACATATAAACTACATTGTAATTAAGATGATGAAATTATAACGAAGGCATGGAAGGCGATATCTATTATCGAAAATTTTCAAATTTGAAAAACTACAAGTTTTATTTTTACAAATAGACAAACGACAGTATTAAAAATATGTACACAAATGTTTTAAATTTTACAATGAAACATGCAAGATTCGTGAGTTAATATTGTACATATAGTTTCGCTATTTGGATTTATGTTTAAATATGAATAATTTGATAATAGTTCTTTTAAATTAAACTGAACTATTTCCAAAAACAGATAACACCTTATCTTATCAAAATTCAAGTGATTCTGGTTATTTAATATGAAATCCATATATTAGAAACTAAATCTAATCCAAAACTCTATATCTAATATCAAATCTCACGTCTTAGAATTTTTTGCAACAATAAACATAGCGCTGTTTGCTGTGTCCTACATACATAAAAATATGATAGATGATATTTAATGGACGAATTCTACTTTCATTTTATTATATCGATGAATTATCTCATTGGAAAATTCAAGATACACGGAATCTGTGGCGTCATCATTTATACTTGTTACAAGTAAATTTAATAGTCCAATGACAACAAATGATTTACAGTGAAATCTCTCTATGTGAACACCTCTTCGTTTTCAACAGTGGACGCATATTTATAATCCCATGAGACATATATAAATAGAAGATGGACTAATCGTGCATATTTAAAAGAGAAAACAACCAATATCAGACAATAGCAATAGTGTTTGATGTAACATCTCATTGTTTTTGTATGAATAGTTAGTAACACCAAATCATATCAACACGTATTGATTTACTTCTGATTAAAAAAAGTTGACTCGATAAATTATTGGAATGAAAGAGAAGAAGTTTCTTTGGTTGTTTATAAACTACATAAAAAAATATAATTGATTGTTGTCAGTATTCGAATTGGATCGTGTCACAAAAATTTGACCCATGTCAGATATTAAATTATTTCTAGTCTCATTTTAAATAATATATCTCTTAGAGAGGAAAATCACTTGTTGATTGAAAAAATGAATTTAATTTAGTTTTAAATATCGAATATGAAATCGAAAAAAAAAATCTTATTTCTACATACCTCTAATTAACTTACAAGTAAGTATTATCTTTCTGTCTGTTATTCAAAAACAATATTTTATTTATGAGGATATATTTATTGTGTATGCTTAAATTACTTATTTATCTTCATACACGAATTCATATTATTCACATTGTGCGAACCGACATGAATTTCGATTATTAAAAAACAAAAATCTTCTATATAACATAGAGAAATTTCTAATATAGTATTTTCAAAAAATAAATAATCTTTTTTTTTCTAAATTATTTAATATATAGATAGATAGAAAATTGAGTAATAAGTTAATCAGTTTATGTCAACAGCAGCAGTAATTGAATGTATACGTTTTATTGCATGTATAAAATGGCTTTGGCAACATGCAATGAATGAGATAGGTAATTGAAAATGCGATCACTCCTACACTTATTTATATACATTAGTTTGATCTAGTAGTATATATGAAGAGATGTAAAATAAGATTTAATCCTCTCATGCGATTTTGTTTTCTCATATGTTTCTGTATTGGTCGATGTTGATATTCACAGTACACACATTAAACATCTAGATCTACTCTATGCTAGAATTTCAGCTTTTTGCATATTATTATTACAGAGATACAAGTGATGTCCAAGTCATAGAAAGTTTTGTTAGTACTGTTACATAAAGGTATTGCTCGAAAGGAGATTTACAAATCGAATTGTTCTTAAACAAATGATAAATATTCTCCATTATTGTATTAGTCGATCATTTAATTCTAATTCATTGTCAAATCATTCATTCTCAGTTGACCAAATATCAGCTAATTTTGTATCATCTATTTCAGAACTAGTACATTCGTCAATGCCTTTTCATGTAGTTCCTTCGTATGGGTCGTATAATTCTTTTTCTTTTTTTGCATTCATAATGACATGGACAAATTATAGAACACAAGAGTTATATGCAGAAAAGCAAATGTTACTCGTAGTGAGTGACTGATCGAATGACTATAATTTTTCTCAATCATGATGATTTCAAAACTAATTCGAAACATTTTTTTATAATTTTGACATCACTTGTATATCTATAACAATAATAGGCAAAAAAGATGGAATTCTAGCCTAGAGTAGATCTAAACATCTAATGTCTCTACTGTAAATATCATCTTCGGTCTATACAAAAAACATATGACCGGACAATATTTCATAAAAGAATCAAAACTTATTTCATACTCTTCATATACCAAAGTTAGAAGAGGATCTCACTTACAACAATGTGGATTGTTTGTTTGTACAGATGGAATCAAATTTCAATTAAAAATTGAATGATAAAAAAGAAAAGATTTTTATTTTTCAAATTCATTTCTATAGATAATTTCAATATGCAAAAATTATTTCGACATTTATTTTTGATTCTTTTTGCATTATTTTTTCTATCTTTTAGTAAGTATACAATAGTGTTGATAAAAAGAAATAATATACTTATTTTAGATCATGTTCAATGTCAAAGTGTATTATCACAAAGAATAAATCGTCTGAAAAGTTCGATAACATATATTGATTATATAAATATGTGCATATTTCGAAAAACTCGTTTATGCAATTGTAAGATTTATTTAAATATAATATTATTAACAATAAATTTTACTTTTAGTTCTACGTGAAATGAATAATGCTAAATTTGATGAAACAAAGTAAATAAAAGACAAAAAAAAAATAAACTTGATAATTTATTAGATTTATTTATTGTATAGACAAGATCGAGAATTATGGAAACGTGGTATTAGTCAGTTCTACAGTAATTGGTAGAAAATTCTCTTATCGTTTATTCATGATTTGATTTGTATTGAATGATATATTAAATAAAATTAAAAAATAATAGAGAAAGAAAAATACAAATCAAAATTGAAAAAAATTTATCTATTATTTGACTTAATAAGATATCTTAGATGATGATATTCATGTCTTCAAATGAATTGAGATATATCAAATCTAATTCCATCGGTAAACTCGTTTTTTAATAAAGTATGATATAAACATTCTTCCTCAACAGAACAAAATCTCAGTCTCAAGGTTATGATCTTCTAAATGTAATATAAGCTCATTCTATCTGTATGAGTGCAAAATATCAATGTAAATCATTGAATAGATTAGTTCATCACTTTTTTTTTTGTTGTTTAGTTGTAATTTCTTTAATGTATCTAATTTCGTTTGTTTTACATATTTTCTATTAACAACTAAATGAGCTTCTTTCGTGAGATGAAAAATGTATATGCATGGATATTAATGAAAAACAGCTGTTCAGCAGATGGTGAATAGAAAATAGTTTTTTTAGGTTTATTCTTGTTATGGGATTATATACACAGTCTAGAGATAAAACAATGTAAATTTCTATTAAGTTGATAGAAATATAAACAAATATTTAGCTGAAAAATTAGATGTCTCACAAAACTTAACAATGTTTGGTTGAAATTATGCAAGAGTTTATTATGTTACAAAAATAAATGTCAGTAGGAGATGAGTATGATATTCATAATTGAAGTACGCATAAGATCTGAAAAATCTATTTCATAAAAATGAGAAACTCTTATTTGATAGTAAAAGGTTTATAAAAAAAAGTTGTTGAACCAAAGAATACGCTGATAATGGCTACAACAAATGAAAGAGTAGTCATTAGATGCTGGCATAGAACATAAATCTCTATCAAAAGAAGATCATACATCATGAATACTCTCAAAATGACCAGAATCTTTTGACGTATAGTCACTTGAATACCAGGCATATTTGATCAAAGGCGAGAATATTTAGCTACCAATTGATTATCTATCAAAAAATGCATTTTTAAAATGCAGTTTCTAGAACAAGTGTCAATGCTTATTTGATCAATGGCCAAGCGATCATAAATTTTTTTTTTGTTTGAAGTATTTCCATTGTCGAAAAACAATGACAAGACAGCGGTTGAATATCATCAGCTGGTTTTGATGGAATTTGCATTCATTTACAAGTAATATTTTCGTTGAAAATATCATCATACATGGTAGGATCAACCTGACCAAATCAGGAGTTTAGCAACAGTAAACAATCTTTAGAAACTAATGGACTTAAAACATTTTCAGTCCAATACTAAATATACGCAACTATTATGGAATGGCTCTGATGGAAGGGATCCTTTTGAATGAGTGCGTTACCACGACTTTCTATCCTTCTAGAATCGTCGCAGTTCGATCACATGAAATGAAAATTTTAGTGAAACTAGACCTTCCGTATATCTTGCTACAGTGCAAGTTTCAGCTTTTTGTCATCTTAAGTTATCGAGTTATAACAATCAAAAGGTCAAAAATGGATGAATGCGTTACCTGTGGACAGGATGACTAACATCTGCGTTTGTTCACTATCTTCGTTTCTATCTTGAAAAAGACCTAGGCCTGTAAAATTCTCTTTTGCAGAAGCAATGATTCAACGAATGGAATCATTTACTAAGATTCTAATAATGTTTTATAACTTTCAAGTTTCGAAATGTGAAGTTTGCATTTGGATGAATATATTTAGACTTTTCATTTTTAAGACAATCGTAGCGTAAAATGCTCATTTGCGATACATACATTCGAAAAAATAAGCATTAGATTTGACAATGATAATTAATAACACTATATTTTTATTACATTGACTGCAAGTTCTTCAGCAAATTAGTCATGTTCATAAAAAGTTTCCAAAACATAGAATAATTTGACACAGTTAATAGTAGATCTCACTAAAATGACCATGAAAACGTTACCAGAAGAAACTTTTAGAAACTAAAAACACCATAGAATAGAGAAATAGTTTCTCTATATAGTTTGTACCAAAAATTTTTTTTTATCACTTAAAGTAAAAAAATTATGAACATTACAAGAAAAAAGTTCAATTTCTTGCGCCAAGTCACCCCTTCTTACTCTAAGAATTATATGATGAGTACAAACCCTGCTTAGAAATCATTATTAATATCACTAACTCAATATCATATTTATATTATTACATATCTGATGTCTCGACGAGCTGGTATTGATGGATAATGTATCATGCTTCTCCTGGCATCATAATCATTGGATTAGATAGATAAGCATTCCTAATCGAAAACGTTTTTTTTTCATGTGTTGCATAAACACAGACCGCAAGATGTGTTCATATCGTATAACTTTCTTGTTCAAAATACTCAAGAACTTCATGAGCATGATAGTAAATGTCCGACTAAAAGCATCTATTCAGAGAAACATTTTTCTATCCAAAAATTGGTTCTATTATGTAATATAATGATGTACAAAGAAATGTGGCCAAGAAAGCGATCAATGGAGAAGTTCACGTGAGATAATCCATCGATTTTCGGACCACAATATTAATGTGTTTCGTTTCTTCTACTTATTTCTGAATATAAATGATATTGAGCAATAACAAGAATATGAAGTTAAATGAAAAGAACGAAAAAAAAAACCATGAACTAAATATTAATGATGCATTGAAAACTTAATTATAGTTTGCTTGGCAGAGGGTGCCTCTGTTTTTTTTAATATTAATGATAAATTCGATACTCTAAATTAATCCATATTTTTGTTTTGAATCGAATATCTGAGTTTTAGTTGTTTTACTAAATCAAATATAAAAATTTCATTTTATCAGTAAAATAAAGTGATAATATATACATATTTCTAATGTCAACTATACATTTTTTTTTTTGAATAACGAAATCAGTTCTATAGATACAAATGAAAATTGTAAAATTTAATCTTGTATTATTAAAAAATTTTTTTTCTGATTTCGTGTGTCATACAAATTCTCTTTGTCATTTTCTATTATGTCACAAGTACATGTAAAATTTCGTCATTACATATGTATATAAAAATTCATTGATATTAAATATTAAACATACCGAAAACTCGATGTACTTTTTGTAAAGAAAAAGTATGCATGACATAGTGTATTACAGCATACGAGAGGTAACGCATAAGGAAATGTGCTCTAAATAGACATCATTATGATATAAAACATCATAGCGCTATTAATTTTTATTATTAATTTGCTAATAAAAAACTTTCATCTATGCAATCAGTGTTGTTAATATCAATACCATTCTTTTCTTTTTCTCAAATGTTTATCTAATCACTTGAAACTTAGAATTCATTGGAAAGTAAAGAAAAACATAAAAATCCAATATATAATTTTGTTTATGAAATCTTATTGAATTCGAATAACGTTTTCCATTGAATTAATATATAGTTAATTTTTCAATAAATATATATTTTAAAACTAAAATTACAATTTTTATTCCTATACTGTGTTTTAAAATTAATCAAATACATGATCACATTATCAAAGCAAATGAACAATCAAAAAGAAAACATATATATTTATGACTCATAGAATATTAAATTTTTATTCGAAAAAAATTCATTCATTCTGTTTATATGTTTCTCAGAATTTAAAAAGCAAAAATAACTCACTATGCATTGACTATGCTTTCAAAAAAACCATCACAATGTGTTGTAATTTCAAGTAAAATTTCGTAATAACATTCCGAATCTTATAAATACTCAAAGTAACAAAACAAAATTTTTGTATATCTTTCCTCAACATATCTGATTATTCTTAATGTATGTATAATAAAATAATTTAAATTGATAAATTTTGTTACTTCATATTTAATTTATAGAATGGTAAATATTCCAAAAATACGTCGAACATTTTGTAAAGGTAAAATATGTAAAAAACATACTTTACATAAAGTAACACAATATAAAAAGGCTCAAGAAAGTAAACATGCTCAAGGTCGACGTCGATATGATATCAAACAAAAAGGTTATGGTGGTCAGAAAAAACCTGTATTTCATAAAAAAGCTAAAGAAACAAGAAAAATTGTCTTACGTTTGGAATGTAGTGAATGTCATCATAAACGTCATTTGACTATTAAACGTACACGACGTTTTGAATTAGGTGGACAAAAGAAAAAACGAAATGAAGTTGGCAAATGGTAACAATAGAAAATAATCATATTTGTTTTGTTTTCTTTTTTGTATATAAAAAAACAAAACAAAATGTTTTAATCAACATTGATCTTAATTAAAAATGAAAAAGAAATATATATTGATATTCAACGAAATAATAAATTTCAGACTTATCTAATATTAAGTAATTCGTAATCTAAATAATGAAATTTTCTAGTATGAAAAATGATAGATATATCTTATACGAAAAGTACAAACGAGAGTATGATACTAAGCAATCTAATATTCCTATTATGCCACCTGTTTATCAAACATAAATCAAGTACATTATAGAAATATAAATAATATGGATTATTGATTCTTTGTAGTATTCACCTTCACATTTTCTTTCAAGTATCATGACAAATGTGGCATATATCTTTATCAAGGTTTATATATAGCTATTGGTAAAGATTGATTTATTTGATCAGATATATTCCTATGTTAATCATATTAGAGGTAATCAACAATTTAGATTGTAGGACAATGAATTTTTGAGGAAATAATAAATGAAGTAGTATGCCACCCCTTCTTCTCAAAATTTCTATGCAGGCTCAGAATATTACTAATTTTGATTGTCTATATGTTACATAAATATGAAAATTAAATTATAGTTTTAATGAATTCTTTGTTCTATGTTAATCTGTGCATAAGAAGATTTATTAAAGACAATTGCCGATGGTGAAAAGCATATAAATAATCAAAGTGCCATTATAAAAGAAAAACACACACACACACCCACACCCACACCCACACTCAAAATCAACAAAAAAAAAAACAATTAAATGAATAAACAAAAAAAGCAAGGGAACTGATGGATTTTTCTTTAGTCTATACTACGAACATATATTCTTAGGAAAAAAAAAATGACAAAATGCTCATAACTATAGTAAGTATATTGAGCGAACAAACGATTTGATGTATTTCACCGAGTTTGGCTTGTATGTTATTGATGCATAAGAAACCTTTAAAGATCGGTAAAATTTTGTTGTTGATATTGTGATCGTTGTTGAGATAAAGGATATATATTAGGATTAGCATTATTGCTGCTTCGTTGATTAAATCCCGTATACGAATATGATTGATTTGGTTGCATAAGTCGTTGACGTAAATTATCAATACCATCATGGGTCATTGGTATTTGTGATTGACGTTGATCTTGAATTTTAGATTGATTTCGTGATGAATAATCTTGATTTGTCCATTTTGAAAGAAGATTTTCTGATGGATAATTAAAATGATTTATAGTAGTAGTTTGTTGTTGATTTGGAGAAAATATAGATTGAGAATTATTTGGTGGTGACCAAGGTTGAGATGCACTTCGTGTATGTGATTCAGCAATACCTTTAAAAAAAGAAAACAAGAAATCTTAAGTTTTAATAATTTATTTAAATAAATCTACCTTCACGAATACTTGGTTCAATATTAAGATTAAGTGGTTTTCTTGCATCAATACTTCCACGTGGTGATAGATCTATTAATTGAAAATAAAAGAAAAAATATTTTTTATTTCAATGAATAATTAAATTCTTACTTTCTGAATGCCAAGTATTAAATCCTTTTGGTTTAGCATTAAAATCTCCATATCGTGGTACTGTTTGTGTTGGTGGTGTAGGTGACATAGTTGGTTCAGGAAGAATAGAACTCGACGAAGGATTAAATGTTGGTCGTACAGGCGAAAAACTTGGTCCTTCACTATCAGAACATGATGGTGCACGTTGACCCCATGGTTTTGTTGTTGGCTATAATGTAGACAATAAACAATTAACTATGATTAATGATATCCATACTAACCCCAATATAATTTGACGTTGCTTGATAACCTTGTTTTTTAACATTATTCTCATCAATAATCCATTTTTCAGAACGAGCTTTACGTTTTTGAAATAATGCTGCACCTTTACTACGATTTTGATTTAAATCAGCAACAAGACTCATTGCAGCTTGTGGTGGAACATTTGTATGTGTTACATGTTCCTAAAAAAACAAAACAAAAAAAAAAGAAAATTATTAAATCTATTAATTGAAATCTTCATACCTGCATATGAATTTGTTTAAATTCTTCTGGTGCACCAACATATCTTAATGGATTTATATATTGAGCTTCTTCTAAACTATGTTTAATACAATCAGGTATATCTGATGAATTATAATAAGATTGTTTTTGTTGTTTTTGTTGTTGTTGTTGTTTACTAGAATATAATGAATCATTTGTTTGTAATGGACGTAATGGTCTATAATTAGTTGTATCAGATTCAATAGTATATTTTTCTACTCGTTGACGTTGTTTTTCAAATTTTGTTGAACCTTTTTGTGTTGGATCACCACCTTCAAGAATTGATGCTATTTTACGAGCCATTTGTTTTTGTTCTTCAATTGTTGGATAAGTATTAAATGGAGTTTTAAAGAAGCTTGAATCACCATAACGCTTCTCTAAAATAAGAAAACAAAATTTGTTTTTTTTCTTCTTACAAAAAAATTTTATCATTAAAATATAAAACTTACTATTAGCAATTGGTGATTTAAGTAATTCAGCACCAATTTCATGATCAATAGTTGTTTGAGATGGTAAAGTAATTTTCGGTGATGAATTAAATCGAGTAGAAGGTGCTTGTTGTTGTTGTTGTTGATATAATTTTCGCTGCAAATGTTCCTGTCTTTCACGTTCCTGTCTTTCACGTTCCTGTCTTTCACGTTCCTGTCTTTCGCGTTCTTGTCTTTCACGTTGTTGTTCTTGTTGATAACGATATACATCAAAAATTTGTTGTTGTTGTTGCACTTGTGGTTGTTCTGTTGGTACATATTGATCATATGCTTTACTTATTATTGAACGAATTGGTAAAACAACATTACTTGGTCGTCGATTAGTATTTACTTGTCGTGTAATTTTATAATAACGTGGACCAGATGTAACATATTCAGAATCACTATAATAATTTTGTTCAGTACCTGTTGAAATTTTTGTATTATATGTTGGTATTGTTGATGATGATGGTGTAAGATATGGTTGTTGATTAGTAGTATGTCGAATATTATTTGTTGTACCATTCATTGGACGAACAGATATTGATGAACGACGAAGATCATTAGTATCGGATAGATAACCACTTGAAATTGTTCCATTATAATTACGTGGTATATCATAGGTACTATTTGATGATGTTGATGGACGATAACTAAATTGTTGTACTCGTGCTGTAGTTATTGGTGTTGATGGTGAATTCGTTGTTATAGTAGCTGTACGAAATATAGATGGTAAAGGATTTGGTGTTGAACGTCCATAAGAATCTAGAAAATATTGTTCTCCATTAATTGAATTCGTATTATTGAAATAATTGGTATTTGATGGATAAGTTGGTGTAGTACGTGATGATGTATATTGATGATAATCCATTTGTCTTGGTTGTGGTGTTATACGTTGTATTAAACGGACAGGACTATTTTCTCGTGTATCTATACTTGAACTTGAATCAAGTCGAAAATTACGAGTATTTGTTGTACTAAAATTTAAAATTTTATTATTATTATTATTATTATTATTGTTTTCTTTTTTTTTGAATCATACCTTTGTACTTCAATAATTAATTGATCACGAACAGTATCAATTATATCATTTATTTCGCGTAATGTATGTTGTAATGAAGGTATACCATTAATTGATATAATGGTATCACCTGCTGCAAGACCGCCAAATGCTGCCTTGCTTCGACTTCGAACCTAGGTAAATTTATTTTAAAATTTTATTTTGTTTTTTATTGTTTCAAAAAAAAAAAAAGTACCTTAGCAATATAAATAGGCGTTTGATTACCGCCTGAAAGTCGAAAACCCCAAGGAGCTCCGCCTCGTAAAACAACAGTTTTTCGATCACCTAACATTTTTTTTATTATTCTTTTTCACTGATATCAGACAAACATCAATGAAATTGTAATGTTCATAATGATTTTCGCTTTTTTTTTGTTTTGTTTTAAAGACAAATCTCAGCAACGCATTTTATTATGGCAACCGAGATGTTCTTATCTCAAGCGCATGAAACAACATGATGTATGTAATAGAGAAGAAAAAAAGAGAAATAAAGACAAGGAAATTGGAGAATATTCTAATGAGAAAACATTTGACCAGTCATAGTAAGCATTCGGTCAAAGAGGAAGAAAACACTGTTCTTCAATTGGAATATGTTTCCGATCGCTGCGTCTGATATGCCTAACGCAGTGGAAGAAAAGAAGATTCTTTTTTCCTTTGAGTGTGACCTATGTACGTGTATCGACAAATGGGAAATACAAACTAATTTTTCTTTCTTCTTTTTTTTCTGTTATCCATGTGTGCGTGTGTATACATAACCGAGTCTGGATGATATTTGTGGATAGGGAATATATTCTTGTCTATGAATTTGCGTATCAATCGTGGAAAATGCGAAGAAAAATAGCGAATTCATCATAACAATAGAGATTCTACTCGTAGTGTTTTTTTTTTCTCTTTCTCTCGTCTTGCTCCTATACAACAAATGGTGTTATGATTGAGAGAACCATCCATTTAGGATTATCATATACAGCAGTCGCTCTTGCACGACGAAGATTGCATATCTTTTTTGTTCTGCAACAAGCAAATGTAAACGATTCTTTTGTATGAAATATAGATATATAAAGGAAGCATAAAAGACGACTAAAAAAAAAAAAATTCTATCAGCCTGATATAATATATGACAGAAAAAGAAATATGCATATAATATGATCGCAGATATTTCTATGTTGTTATTGTCATTTTATGACGTGCATATATTTCATTAATATCAGATTGGTATGATAAGTAATAGGACAAATTGAGTTAATCTAACTGACTCTTTTTATTTATCATCATCGGGAAAAAATAAGTGATAACTTGATTTAGGATATATCAGTTATTTGAGAAAACAAAAAGAAAAAAATTTTATTTTCACGTTTTTTTTTTCTCTCTAATATAAATTAAGCTATTGTTCTAGATAAAATAAAAAATAAACTAATTATTTATTGTGATAACTTACCGTTTATGAAAACTTATGTAAGCTTTCGTCACTTAATCAAACAAGAAGATATTATTGTTATCCTTCTTTGTATTTGTTAATTATCTTAAAAACTAGTTTGATGAAAAAATACGATATTAATATAAAATGATAATCGACGTGTTTATGTCGTCAATCTAAAACTCAGATTGATACGAGTTGATGACACCATACACCAACAACTCGTGTGCCTTCTGATCAATGTTGCTCTTTCTTTTTTTTTTTCTACGTGCTTATGTATGCATATATATCGAATAGAAAAAAAAAAAAAAAAGAATAGTGGAGAGACTCATAATTATGTCCATAGGATCGCAGATAATGATAACAGTTCCTTTATATAATAAGCGACAAAAAAAAGACATTCCGCACTATGCTATTCTTCTTGATGGAATATCATCAACCCACGTTGTTTTCCTACTTTCACAAAATTCTTCGAAAGATTTGTATGAATATCGCATTCTCAAATAACATATATTCACATATAGAGATACACAGGAAAATATCCAATCAAAGATAAATATATATTTGCTAACAGTATGAAGAAATCAAGAGGCCAAGGAAAAAAAAAAGAACACTACTTCGTTAAGTTACCCCTACGCAACCTTGATCTTGACAAAAAAAATGCTAAATAGTAATAATAATAATAATAATAAATGACGAGTGTCAAGAACATTGAAGAAAAGTTCTTGTTCATGCGATGATTATTTATTGTATATATCATGTCTGTTTATTTCATTGTTGTTGATCAAGGTATTAACAAATTAACACGAGATTGATCTTTAACAACTAACAGAAATAATCGTTTAGTTAGTTTGTTTCTCTAAATTAATTTAAACAAAAAATTTGAAGAACATTTCGATAATTAACACTAATACATCATAATCATTTATAAAAAAAAAAAAACACAAAAAACTTTTCATGAGACGGATTGTACATTTTATTAGATAAACAATTAAATATTCAAAGTTGAATGATTAAAAGATATTCACAATAAGATCAATATTACAAAATCAATTTTTATTGATGTTTCTAATAACTTTGGTTTGATTGAATATTGTTCATTTAATTTGATGAAAGAAAACTGGATGACACAAATTAAGTTCGTGATGCGAATTCGGTATGAAGCACATCTCCGAACTGAATCCATCATAAAACATTCGAATTAGTCGAGATGTCAAATTTAACGAAAAAACAAAGTTTCTATGTTTGTATATGAAGTAGAATGATAAGTTTAATGCATACTACCCTAGTAGAACATTTTGCAAGCAAGATCTTGGTCAAGATACAAGGTACAGAAATATTAACAGATCTCGAAAATTTAGGTACAAGATAATCATATTCTCTTATGCCAAGATCTTAGATACATACTAAGATAAAACATGTGTTGCATACGGCGTGATTTGTGATACAATGTATAAGATATTTTTGAAAGCGTGATTCAAACCTATCAAATAGCGTATTCATTATTTTTTTTTTCTGTAAAACCATGTTATGATATTTTTTCAATTTATTTTTATTTTAATTATTCCTATCCTAAATAATTGAAGCAAGTCAGATCTTGAGATGATTCGGTCTTCATCAGATTGCTTCAGGGTAGTCCTCTCTCAATCATCGATCGAGATCAGTATGTTTTCGAATGATCAACATTCGAGAAATAGTTTTAAAAAACAAACTATATTAAAAATGTATGTTTTGTATGACTCTGTATGTATTAAAAAATGGTGAAGAACTAGTCAGTATGTAAATACTAATGATGTCGCTCTTTTACTCAAGATCTTGTGAGAAGATAATATTAAACGATATCTTTTCTATGATCTTGACAAGATCTTAAGTACAGATTTATTCGATACAATCAAGATGTTCGCATACAAATTATCTTTTCAAGATCTTACTTATCGATCTCAAAATTTCAAGATCTTGTTTACAAGATATTCGACTAGGATACAAATCGATTATTAGGAAATAACTCGAATTTTATGCTAATTGAAAATCAATAGATACGTTTTATCAGAATTTATAGGATTTTGGTACACGAGAGTTTTTGATTAAGTTTTCATGTATGTTTTTATCTTCAAGAATGTAGATGTCAACAAGATCTTCGAAAGATGGAAGCAACATTCAATCTAATGAACACTTACAGTTACTTCTGAAACTCGTTTCCATTATCTCATGATTAGAGGCGTAACTCAGTACTAAAGACAGAGCAGGTGCAGAATGATCAAGTTCCAGAAAAAAGAAACGCTGTGGGAACAGTCTTCAAAAGGAGAGAGTGCTTTGTACAAACAAATTCCAGAAGCATGATAGGTGACCTCACACCCTTACTCGTAGTCACTAGTCTTGTTTCTTTTTTTCATTATATCGAAAAACAACAGAGTTCACATTTCAATAAATGTGGAAACCTCGGATTTAAATCCGAGAGTTATGTGTACTTCAAAAAGTGAATGAGACAAATTGGTCATCCTACAATGTGTGGATATAAAAATTAGCCCGGCAAACCCTTTCTATAAACACTTGAACTCTATTGGCTACTGCTCAACTAATAGGATTTTGGAGTGAATACAGCTCAGATTTGGACTCTTCGCCTTGAGTTATCCTAAAAAACTCGTTTTTCCTATAATTCGATTTCTATTGGTCAGTGCTCAACCAATGGGGCTTCGAGTCAAGTGGATTACAGATTCGAGTTCTCCATCCTAGAAAACCTCGAAGTATTATCTCTGTGATCGGAAGATAGAGCTCGAATTGTGAATCGATTAGAGCGCAGACAAAAACAGAACCGATTTCCGTTTGTTTATCTTTGCAACAGGTGAGCTAGCCATCTTGTTTCTTTATGTTTTATATACCATTTTGTAGCTCGTGAAATTCTCTATCGAATGGTGTATAATAGTTGGGGTTTTCTTTGACTATGATAAGGAAAGTGTTTTACGAAAGTGGGGATGGGTCGATTTTCCTATAGGAAGCCATAGGGAAAAAATGAGTATTTTTGGCAATAACTCAGGAACGGCTCAGCTAATTCTTCTCATCTTCGAACTCGACCGAGATATTGTTGAGACTAAACTGTATGGAAAATTTCATCGCGATCGGACTCTCTTTTCAAAAGTTATCGCGTAAACGGCCGGCCGGACGGACACACTGACCGATTCTAGAGTGTACTCACTTTTGGGGTACACAAAAACATCATTTTGTGGAGTGAATTAAGATCGAACGGAACTTTCTATCGAAACTCTGATCTTTAGATCATTGCAACACAAAATAGTGCCTTTGAGTAGGGAGCTGCGGGTTCGAGTCTAAAATTTTATTCTATTTTTTTTGTCAGACCCGATTACACGTTTTTGTGAATCCGTTGCTTCCCAAATGAGACATATAACAACAAGATATAACTATACGTTGAGTTTTTTTTCAGAGACTGATAAAGAAATCGCGAAAATCTTGATCATTTACTTGTTCATGTACACAAAGGGTGGCACGTATTGATGGAAAAACTCTCGGGGTTGGATCCGAAGGCAAATTTTTAATTGTTTTTTTCGGATCTGGATCGGTTCCGAATTCAAATTTTAAATCTTTTTTGGATCTGAGTCCACAAAAACGTGAATCCGAAGCTCCCTACCTTCGAGTTATGTGCCGAGGAAAATTCTTTTTTTTTTTGAATTTCGAAGGAATTTTTTATGAAAGAAAAAGAACGAAATATTTATTTTGGACAATTTTTGAATCATTTTCTCATATATTTTATTTTGACACACAAATATTATCAACTGTGTAAATTGACTTTTTCATCTAGAATATCAATATGCATTTTTATACTTTTGTTTCTTTTCTACGACATTTTTCTTTGAAAGAAAAAGAAACTTACAGTCACATGAGATCGATAAACTCGTATTTTTGCATTTCTTCTTCAAATAAACACGAGTGTTGCATGTTAAACAGCATATATATATATTTTTCATTTGTCTACGACAAAATAATATAAGTTTTTCGTTTTTTTTTTGTTTTTTATCGAATGTTGCAGCCTTGTGCTAATGTTACATGCAAACGTGCATCTTGTGCTTTATGTCATTGTTGTCAACAAAATGTATGTATATCTCATCTAAATGAACAAAATGAATTTCTCAATTCTCAATTGAATCCTCTTGCTGATAGTATTAATGCACTTAATCATCAATTTAATACATTATGTATTCATGAAACAACACGTGATTATCATAAAAAACTTGAACAATGGCGTTTAGATTGTTATAAAAAAATTGATCAATTCTTTGAAGAAAAATGTCAAGAATTCGATCAACTTGTAGCTGATATATTAAATAAACAACGAGATAAACTTACTAATATTCAATCGGATATATCAAAACTTATTCATAATAAAGAAATAACTCAACAAGATATTGAATTATTTACATTAAATATTTCTCAACTTAATGATGAATTAAAAAAAATTGAACATACAAATATTCAATTTAATATTTCTCCTCTAATAATAAATGATACTTTAATTTATCTTCGAAAAACAAATGAAAAACAAAGTGATCTATCTATTTTATCGTCTATTTATAAAGAAATAAAATATCCACCTGAAAGTTATTGTCCATTAGCTTGTAATGATCGATTATTATTAATACATCAAGCACCAAATTTATGTTTTATGGATACTGAAATGGTCATTATCAAACAAATTTTATGGTCACATGATGCTATTCGAGATATATGTTGGTCATCAACATTAAATCGATTTATTATTATTGAAGAAAATAATATTTTTCTTGTTAATGAAAATACAATGTCCATTGAAAATGTAGAAACTATTGAAAAACGTAGATGGTTTTCATGTACATGTTCAGATACATATCTATTTTTAACGACAGGTGTAAGAGGTTCATCTATTGTTGAATTTCGTTTGTCACCTTTAATTACTGCTATGAAAGAATGGAAATCTCCTAATACATGTACAAAAGATGAATTTATAAATGGTATTGTTTATAAAAATGATATTCTTGCACTAACGATTAAGAATAAAATTGAAAAAACTTTACGTTTAGAATTACGATCTTGTGAGAAACTCAATCATATTTGGTCATTTGCATTTAATATTATATGTAATCAAAATATAGCTTTTCGTTTTTGTTCTTTTAATTATGACGAATGGTTAGTAGCTGATTATGAAAATGGAAATTTGTTACAGATTACAAATGATAAAAGTTTAAAGAAAACAATTTCATATAAAGCAATTCCTTATTATATTTGTCTATTTGGTTCAGACATGCTTGTTGTATCGACTGCAAAAGGAGTTAATTTTCATAAAATATAATGTAAATATTCTTCTACAATAATTTAAGTCTTTGCATATTTCATTATATATGAATGATACGAATCTTTCGATAACAGATACTATTGGTTTTATTTTTCTTTAGAAAATTTTCTTAATAAACTATGAAAGTTTTACTTTTATTTTATTTTATTTTATTTTATTTTTATGGAACGATTGACTTACTTATGAGGGTAGGTCTCCAACTGATGCATACCGTTTTTAATGATATTTTATTCATATGTCGGGGACAGTATTCTAAGGATAATCACGAGAGAGTTTGTGTCTATGGGCCTTTCTTCGAAGGTTATGACCAGTATCCGACTCGGGTCGAGTCGGATCACAAAAAATCGATCGATTTCGAGTTTCATATAAAATAAACAGCAATTTGAGATGTGATAATGATTTCTTTACTCGGATTATTGAGAGAGCTTTTATAGATTCAGTAAGAGGTACTTAATCTTTATAGAAATTTTGCATCGATTGTCTGAAAATTATCTGTCGACCTTGGGTCGGGTCGGGTCGGGTCACAACAAAAGTGACCCATGTCGGACACAGGTTATGACTATTTTACTGATTTTTCCATTTAGTGGAAGGTATATAAGGAAAAATTGAACAATGGGATTTCAATATGAAATTTTGCTCATATGTGGCTCTTGTAGTCATTAAAACACTTTAAGAGCTTCAGCGGGAAAAAATATTTTCTTCTGGTGATATTGATTCTTAAAAACTTGTCTCATGATCTATAAAGTCCTGAAAGATTGACTTTTTTTTTGAAAATTGAATATCTACAAAAGGAAACATTTTTTTCCGCTGAAATTTTTCGAGTGTTCTAATGATCATAAGAGCTACATATAAGTAAAATTTCAGATTGAAATTTCATTGTTCAATTTTTCTCTATATACCTTCTACTAGGTGGAAAAATTAGTAAAATGGTCATAACCTTCTAAGAAAGGTCCATAGACACACACCCTCTTAGGATTTTTCTTAGAATACTGTCCCCGACATATGAACAAAATATCATTGAAAACGGCGTGTTATCATTCGTCATTAGATATGGCTATAACAAAAAAATTCCAATGTAATTGATGCATTCATATTTTACGGAAATAATTAGAATTTTCAATCTTATATTAGAATACATACTGCAATTCATACTTAACAGAACAAACTACGTGATGAATTAATATCTGCTTTCAACTATAATTCTCTATTTTTTTCGGTACATTCAGAAAACTGTTAGCATTATTTCCTGAAGATATAAAAGATATCGAAGATAAATTACTATCCAATAAATCTGTAATCAAGATAACATTCGACAATGCTAAACACGGTCTTTACTTCAATAATCATAATTTTCAAATTCTCTAAATTAAAAAGAAAGTAGATTATATCTACGTATAAGAATCAAAATTAGTCGAGGAGTAGTATCTCGAGTTGAAGAAAAGAAAATCCCTATGCATTCGACCGTTGATTGCTGTATAATATGATTCACTATTATAATTGTATTTCTTCGAATGTAATCCAGAGAAATACGATCATAATACTAATCCTAATTATTAAGAGTTAGAGAGATTGAATCTGAATGTAAGATTATGGATAACTAAAATCACATTATATAAATAATAATTATCAAATCTCTTAATGAAAATCAGAGATGGGCAAGTCAGCGATTTTTCGACTGAAGTCAAATATGACTTGACCTGCTCATCTCTAATGAAAACATAAGTCAATTCAATATGCATTATCCACTGATTCTTTTCGATAATATTTGATAAAGAATACTCAATTATTCCCATGTGATTACAACTGAACAAAAATTGCCAGCAAATCATAAATTCTACTGCGGTATACTGGTGATAGTATAACCAAATACTGCAACATGGATTATGATAATCTAATAAATATAATTATTCAACTAAATAATCTAATTGCAAACTTATTAAATAAATTAAGCTTGATAGTGTATAACAAACTGGATTATACATGGTTTTTTTTGTTCAAAAGATGAACAACAATAACTATAAGTAAATACGATTTTATATAATTAATTAAAAATATTTCTTATCAATTTTTACTTGTTTTTTTTTGAAAAATTATATTTCATAGAAACGAAAAAAAAAATCTAGCGAGAAATTTATTAAACAGATCATCATTATTTTCTTCTCCTGTTCGACAAACAATATTGTTGGGTTCAATAAAATCGGAAACGCAAAGGTTCAATATTTAGTCCATGCTCTTATCAACAACATGGTAAAGCAGCATTTTCTATTCACCTTGCTCTTCACTATCTGGACTTCTCACACAGATACTTGCTACAGTCTAACTGTGAAACAATAAAATCGAAAAACAAGAAAAAAATCACGCAGTTGAAATTTTAGCCATAAATGATGCCAAGGGGAAAAAAGCGGATCCTGGATCCTTTAGATCCTAATGGATCCTCATGGATCCTAGGATCCGCTTTTTCCCCCTTGAATGATGCGCTAAAAGTCTTTTTGTGGTTAGCCTTCATTTTATTTTCATGGACATTCGTATTCCGACCTTTGTCTCGGAGTTTTATTTGTAGATGGCGTGAAAATTAGAAATGATGAAGAGTGAGGAGTTCAATCAAGAGCAAAATAAACAATTTATACATTGACTAGAAAAGATAATCTAAGAGTTAATATCACCTTTCGACTCAATAATCCTTTCGATGTATTACTTTATCATAGAACATTGATGGACTCAGTAACATCAGCTGTAATGAAAACAGATGCCTTCCCATTTTGCCTTGTGAAGAATTAAAAAAAAAGAAGATGTATAGAATACAAGGAAGATTGTTCGATACGAAATGAGATTTACTATGATTGGATAGATTTTATGAGATGCGTACAAAGCTTCGAAGAAAATTAAAGTTTTCTATCAGACGACTTATCATTACAAAATTAGAAATTCAACATTATTCAATATACATTCTACTATTACGACTATTGTGACATTTAGAATCACCTGAATTTCAGTACTTGAAATATGCTTGATCATTTATATATCAATAATTTATTCAATGCAATTAGATGAATGGCTTATGGACGAATCAATTATTAAGAAATTAGTCATGGAATGGCTTTCTTTGGCCTGGCCTATTTAGATCTCTGGTAAGGATGATTGTAAGAGTTCATTATTGAGGTTGGAAAAGACTTTCAGCGCATCATTTTTCGTCAAAAATCAATCAGGAATTTAGTAAAAGTTAATAACAATTAGAAATTTGTTATGATCTCTCAAAACTCCATTATAGATGCCGTTGGTGTATAGCCCATCGACTAATAATTGCAATACAAAAACTTATTTTAAACAAACACGTTGATAGTAAATTCAATTTGATAATTTCAAAGAAGGATAATCATCTTAAAGAAAGAGAAAATAATCGCTTTTAATATTTATTGGATCCTTATTTAATCCAATAATTGATTTACAAAAAATCAGAATGTTAATTGAATTGTGACGTGTGTGTGAAATATAATTAATCATTCATTTACAACTAATGATAATGTTTGTCTTTCAAATAACCTTCACAATTTTATCGTGCATCCCATTAATAAATACGATCTTAGATGATGATATTCTTTATGATATTAAATGGCAATCAGAATTAAATTCAGTATGTATTTTCAAAAAAAAAAAGAAAAAAAAAATCAAAATTCATTTGAATAAATAAATTGATTATTTTCAGCCAATTGAATTGAGAAATAATTTTATTATTACATCAAAACGAAAAGAAACATATTCATGTGTATTACCAACACTTGAATCAATAAATACAGTAAACACAAAATATATATATATATATATATATATATTTCCATGTAAAGTTTGTTTTTCTCAAAATATTCCTATTTTTAGAAATCAACAGAAACTATTTTATTAAATGAAATCGAACCATTAATAGAAAAATTACATTCTAAAAAACAATGTACTTATCGAGTAAGCTTTTATTTAGTAGAATATCATAATACTTTATCAAACAATATATACATATATAGTTAGATCCATATTGGACATATGAATTATGTCATGGTATACATGTTCGACAATATCACGAAAGTAAAATAGCTGATAAAGTAAGATCAATTCATTTTATTTTCAAGAAAACGTGTATATATGTATTTATAGAGAACAATTCATCAAGAATATTTTCTTGGTTATTATCATTCAAATAATCAAGATATAATTACAACCATTGATAATGAACAAGTATTAAAGGTACAGCAAAAAAAAAAAAATTTTTGTTTTTTAATTATTAATAAAATAAATTCAATAGATTCATTATAAAACTATTAATAATCGAGTAATACCAATGTTACCAATTCGATATACAGATGGAACACAATGTGATATTAATTCAAATAGACCACGTGAAACAACTGTTTTCTATAGTAGAGTTTAATTTTTTTCTTTCATATTAATTCTTAAAATTTAATTTTCTATTTTCTTTTTTATTTAGTATGTCATGAAAATGGTAATAATGGTGTAATCAATTTTCAAGAAGTTTCATCATGTCAATATGAAATGACTGTTGCATCATCATGGATTTGTAATTTACCAGAATTTAGGTTAATATATAGATTACAAATAGAATTCAGATTTAACAAACACTTAGGAGCATACAAAAAGTAGTTGCGAAGATATTTTAATTCCTTATAAAAGAAAACTTTCTGTGTATATGGTCTGATAGTAAAAATAATGCTCTATCATTTCTCTAATATTTAATTATCCATCAATGGAGATGTACAGGCGCTAGATTGCTTATTCATATTTCTCACCTTTTAGTTCTTTTGACTATGGGATAGGTGTGTTTCCTTCATTTGCACTCAAAACGGCTAAACGAAATAAATTTGATTTCTCGTGGATCTATGAACATCATGATAGTAAAATTTTAATAAAAACGATATGTACCTCTAATTCTAGCTGTTAATACATATTAGTAGCGACAAGTTTTTAATTAAATAATTCTCTAAATCTGGCAATGTTTGATTTTTTATTTTTCAAATATGACTGAGAAATTTGGAACGCACCAAAAAAGAAAAACGCAAAATAAAGTTGAACTTTGAAAATCCAAGTTTTTTTTCTTTCGTAGCGCGATTCACTAGAGATTACATGGAAGGAATGTATGAAGCGCACTTACTAGAGTATGCAGGGTATGTTCTCCAACTCACAAACCTATAGGCAAAGTCACAGGGCTCCAAAAACTAACATTTTTCAAACATTTTCTGCTTATGAATTTTTCACAAAATCTGTTGACAGTCGTAAAAACTAAGAACAATAGTGGTTCCGAAAGTAGAGAATGTAGACTATTTAACCATATAGAAAGTTTAAAAATCGATATTTTTGTATAGGAGAAGCCCTAATCAAACAAAATATAAGCGATGACATCGATTTCAAGTCCAAAGTTTTCGATCGACTCTATTCCATGATAATACCTGTCATAGTCTGGGAGCGAAGACGGAGCAAATTGCTGTCCTATATACTTCAACACTCCTTTTAGATCGTGCTTTATAAACAACCGCAAGCGAATAGCAGCAAGGCAAACAAAAACTAAAGCGTCGATGAAAAAAATGTGACCAATCTGATGATCCTTGAAAAACGACTATAATCTGCTAGAGATTTTATATTTGACATATTTTGTATTAGTATAATGAGGCTAAAGAATACATATGAGTTCTTATCTTAATAGAACTGTGCTGACAAGGTTTTTTTTATAATTAGAATTATTTTTCTTTTTGATAGTAATGCATGTTTATGATTAATACAAATAATCTTATTCAATATTAAATGTTAATATTCTAGTTTATATATGTATTTAGTCCAACAGAATCAAATCGACATACAATAAATTGTTATCCACAAGAAAATGCTCCTCAAAAACCAAGAAATTTAAAAAAACTTGAATATGAACAAGAACAATTACTATCAAAACAAGGTGAAGGTGCACAATTTACTGTAAGTATTTCTTTTTTTTTTTTGGGCTATGATTGTTATTCATTTATGAAAAAAATTTTTTTTTTCTCTATCAAGATGACAAGTGCAGATGGAACAACATTTATTATTTCATATAGATATGTAAATGAAGAAAAGGTTAATGATATAGTTAATAATGATGTAAAATCATCAGAAAATGAACAATTATCATCTAATGAAAATATCCTTGAATTTGTCGAAGGATTTTTTTCTGGTCGAGATTGTTTAACAGGTGGATCAGGTTGGTGGCGATATGAAATATGTTATGGAAAACATGTTATTCAATTTCATGTAAAATATATTGAATATTTCAAAACAAAAATTAAAAATTTTTGTTTTTTTTGTTCTTTCTTTTTAAAGGAAGAACAAGGAACACGAACAACAATTCAACTAGGTACATGGAATTATGAAAAACATGTTGAATGGATAAATACAAATCCAAAAAAGAAATCTGACAGCGATTACAAACAACGACAGTAGAAATTTTCGTATATCATTTTTTTTTTGAATATTTTGAAATATATTTAGATATGTATCATTGTATTATACTGATGGAGATGTATGCGAATTAACACAGATGCCACGTGTTGTTGAAGTTAAATTAAGGTAAAAGCAAAACAAAAAAAATTATTTTGTTTTTTGAAAAATGATTATGATTGTTTATTAAAGATGTTTGACCAAAGAAAATAAATCTCATGTTCCAATAATGTATCTTGTTGAACCAGAAAGTTGTTCTTATGTTTTAGGCGTATGTAGATAAAAATAGAATAATATTTAATTAAAAAAAAAAAACATATGTTTTGAATTTTTTTTTGAATGATTAGATTGAATCTTCGGTATTTTGTGATTTAATTGATTTTACAGATGAAGATGGTATTCCTGATTATGACGAATTGATAAAACATTTCCGAGAACAATAAATTTTTTCCATTTTTTTTTGTTTTATTACACGATTTGTTCTTTTTTTTCTCAATTGTGATGTTAATTGTATAGTACCTATTTTATTTTTTAATGAAAAAAAAAATAATTGAATTATTAGAGGATTGTTTTTTTTTTTGTTTTCTCACATTGGATGTCAACAATATGGAAGATAGTTATGACATTGTGTTTTTGAAAAATCAATAGAATATATTGATGGTTTATTGAGTAAATTTGAATATTTTTCTTTTATCGAAATGATCAACGCGACGAGTTAAATCTTCTGAGAATCGTGTGTTTTTTTTTGTGATTGGCTACACATGGAAGTATATCTATCAAAAATACGATTTGCAAGTATTCTCTCATTGATACGTAGTAATTATGATACTGATATAGATAATTTTGAGTGAAATCATTTCACTGTAGAGATGTAGAATGAATCAAAAATGACATAAAAACTGGATTTGTTATTAATTTGATTTGTTTTTTATACGACTTTTCATAGTTATTATGTTGTTATTTTATCGGTATATAAAGCTGAAAATTAACTTAGAATGGATTATTTTCTTTAAGAAACTGTTAGTGTTGTTCTTGCAAAATTTAAATGTGAAATACGTTGCAGCTGTTGTTGCTAATCATTGAAGGATTGTTTTATTCTATCTATTTTGGAATACTTTTCTTTATCATCTTTTTACTTAATCTCAATAAGGAAGTAGTTCATACATTAGAACGAAAAGTTATTGAGATGCGGCCTTTGATCGCATATCAATAACGTCTGTCGCGGTGTGTGATGATATATGGTTAGACACTTGCAAAGGCGGATATTTTCTGATTGAAATCAGATCTTTCATTTCCGAGATCGCACCAGAATAGTTACATTGATTCTGACTGCTAATGTCTCATCCGGAAGGAAGACTTGCAGATTTCTATCTTTTATTGATAAAAAAATTATTTAAAAACGACCGTGAAATGCTGTTTGAGTAGCTACTAGTTCTAATAAAGTGTTTAGCATGAAGATCATGTTATTCACTATGAATACGTCAAAAATGATTCAAATTGTCATGAAAAAGAAAATGCTACTTTCACATCTGTGATCAAGAAATTTTTAAAAATTACTCTGAAAATAGGTTATACTTGTAGTAATCATTACATACTAACTTCGCTAACATCGAAATAATCAATTTGTATAAGTAAATACAAGAAAAAAAATCAGGTTTTTTTTCGTTTGTTTTGAAAAAAATACCGTTTTCTAACTCATATATCAAAATGAGTTTAAATTTTTTTTTAACGTTTTGGTTTATTGAAGGCTCTACAAAATATTCATGAACCGTCTCGGTCCAATGTTTTATTACTCCAAATAGATAGTTTTTATGAATGAATCAAAAATCTACTAAAACTAGATGTTATTATTTTCTGTTTCACTCTCATATAAGTACTGTACATTTATAGTACTAAGAATACAGATAGTTTCTCTTTCTCTTTAACCAATAAAAAAACTTTTCATTTTTTTTTAAGTAAATTAAATACAATATTAATATCAAATAAATGAAATTTTATTAAAATTTTCTTGTTAAAAATTTCAACAGATCTAATAGTGCTCTTCTCATTTGAATCCCAACAAAATTAAGTTTTAAACTTGAATTAATATGATTAATCCCATTGGTATATGAATAAGATGACTGAATACTAGACAAAAAAAATGTTTATTTTGATTTTCGATCATCAATGTATGTAATTAATTTAGTTATAGGGGAGCAAAGATGTCTATCGCGGTGCAGCCGCTGTCACGGTAGCAGTGGCGTCAGCGGCAGGATTTTTTGGAGGATATTGAAAAACTGCATGAATTTAATAAAATTTCAGGGTTTACAAATGAAATATCCCGAGACCGAATGAATCTGATGGACTGTTACCAATATCTCTGGTTAAATATAGTCGCAGCAGTGGAATTAGAAACACTTTTTTGAAAACCGTCGTGGCAGCGGCAAATTTTCAGCCACGATGGACATCTGTGTAAGGGAGTGAATGTGAGCGAGAGAATAACAGAAGATCTTCAAAGACGCGACCGTCATTCTCAACATGTGTTAAATATCACCGATGACAACATATATATTGCAAAATTTTGTAAAAAAATTGCATTAAATACATGACCAGTTTCTTCGTCTTGTTGTTCGGACATTAGAATAGTAGAATTGTTTCTATCAGTACTCAGTTCTAATATAAATACTTTATAATGTAATTAAAATTTTTGTAATTTAAAATATAAAAATAATTTTTGTTTTTCTGTTAATTATAGATATGTCAAATTTAAATCGAAAATATAAGAAAGAATCTTGTCGAACATTACTTGGTTTTCTTCGATGTCTTGTTGGACAAAGAATACAAATTGATGTTTATGGTGGTATTATGCTTGTTGGTATACTTATTGATATTGATGTTAATCATAATATTCAATTATCACAAGTAACAATGTCACGTCCAATTCAAAAATCAATATCATTTAATCGTTTATGTATTCGATATAGAAATGTACGTTATATTCGTATACCAGATGAAATAGATATTATAGAAACAATTCGACAAGATTTAAAACAAATGAATCCAAAACCAAATGAAATTATCGGTGGTGGACAAAAGAAAATGTATATCAAAAAAGGACAAGAATATGAAAAAAATTTACCAACACTTAGACCTGATAATTATTATGATTAATCTTTTCTATCTGATCTAGATTTTTTTTTTCTTGATGATAAAAATAAACTGAAATGTTTCAAACTTTAACATCTATCTATTTCGTACAATTTCAGAAAGACGTTTACTTAACATTTCAAATCAATCAGTTGTTTATTATTTTAAAGTTTTCTGTCATGTACTCTCTCACAACAAATAACGAGTACCATTAATGTTGTTAATATGCCAAAAATAATAGAAAATACTTAATCATTGTAATTATTCATTGAGAGTGATGAAATTCGAGGGAAAATAATTTAATATAATCTTTGGTTTAATACTTACATTAGCTACACAACCACATGTCAATGGATATAGTTTCAGTGGTAGATCCGGGATTTTTGCATTTCTAATGAGGAAAAATGAAAAAATAATTTTCGTCAGCGGGTGACGATTTAGGCCTGTCGGGTCCAAAATTTTCAGTGGGAAATCTAGTTTATTAAACGTTTTTGAGATCCGGACCAGGTCGAATCGTAATCTGATACCCTTGACGAAATTTTTGTTGCGTACATCATCGCCGAATGCCTTTCGATCATAAGTTTTATTTTGGTGATCATTTCTTACGTTCATTCTTTTCTGAATGCATCATGAATTACGATATGGTCTTTCTTAGTTACTAACTTATTTGGTTACCAGCTTTATTCCTAACTTACGAGGGAAAGTTCCCAAGTAATAGAATCGATTTTAAGTTGGGACTATATTCGAATCTATAAAGCTTAGTTTTAGTAGAGATTTTTCTTGCAGGACTCCAGATTTCAAGTAAAATCATACTTTTGAATTTTGATCTGAGAATTTACCCAGATAAGGGGCTCGACCAGATTAGCTTGTAGAACAAAAATTTCATAATGCTTAAGCAAAGTCTTTGCGAGATATGAATCTTTTTGAAAATATCAATATTGTTCTTTTTACAACAACCACGGTGAAGAGCCTATATTTTGAAAAAATTCATATCTCGGAGAGACTTCCTAAGAAAGGGTGTGGGTGTGGCTATGGATGTGGGGTGTGGGCGAATTAAGAGAACACCCACACCACCCACCCCACACCCATATCCTCTTTCTTACACCCACACACACATCCTTCAAATGAAAGCATGCCTATGAACACAGTATATAGGCAGATGATATTGAGCTAATTTGACCTTATTTATATGCTGTAGTCGTAGTTTTAAATCATTCAGGGTAGTAATATAAGCATATTCAGATAGGTTGGTTTTTTTTTAAAAGAAACTTTAAGAGGTTATATGTTGTTTTAACATCGTTGTGTGTATGACATTTCAGGAAATAAGCATTCGATATTTCATTTTTGTTTCTAAGCTATATGTTATTTGCAAAGCGATCAGTAGGATTCGACAATCGTCCATGATTGCCATGTGACCGATGCGACAGACTGAATCCTGGTCTCAGTATTTTTATGATAAATTTTACAATTTATCTCCTTTAAAATAGGACTTTTTGGAGTGTGAGTGTAGGCATCGGTCAAGAGATATTTGACACTCACAATCCGCCGTATTCAGTTGTAGAATAATCTAATTTTTCATTCTGACAAGGTGAGTTGCCGAAAATCGAATAATGTGTAACGCAAATTCGTCGGATAAGGTTTACTTTCAAATACAACAGCCAGGTAAAGCAACAGTAGCCTTTGAAAATGATACCGATTCGCGAGTACTTAATTTGGCCAATACGAAACTCCCCCAATCATTTGATTCGGTCCAACTTTTCTGGTCCTATCAAAGTAAAACTATGATTTTGATCATTGAAACACCATATGCGAAACAGCATCAACCATATACCATTTCTCTCCATACCGAACACCTGAAACTATCTATCGAACATATTTATCGACTGTTAAAAAGTCAACAAACTGAAATTCCGATCAATGATAAAAACATTATGCAAAAGTCGGACTCTAATTATCAAGTCATTATTCAATTTCAAGGACCACCGCAAATGATCACCTATGGAGTTTACATCAAATATTATATCTTACCAAATTAAACAGAGACAATTTTGTTCAGTAAACTTTTATTACTAGCTAATTCTGAATATTAACTAAACATGTATTTATTATTAACCACTCGCATTTTTATGATTTTTTTGGCAATACTCATAACCAACATTTTTCTTAATCCACCTATTAAAATAAATTTTCAAAATTCGAAGCTATTTGAGAAACAAAAAAAACTTTCATAAATAGATGTGATTTACACAATATGAAGATTCTTCAAAAGAGAAAAATAGCACTTGTTATGTCATTGTCCTTTCTTATCACCGAGGAAGCAACGTGATGGTATGACCACAGAACAGAACAAAAGAATAATCTCCCTTCGCAAGAAATCGAACCATGCATTTCCTGCTTTCCGGGTAGTCGTATTAACCACTATACTAGAAAGGAGTACTCATCATTCGCTTTGTTCTGTCTTATGTTCGAAGGGGAACACTTCGAACATAACACTGCCGAAAATTGACTTTTTTAAGGAGAGCTTAAGTAAGTTTTCTCTAAAAACAACTAGGTTTTCCAATATTGTGTTACGCAGCATTTATCTTCTAAAAATGTCATCTTCGAATCTTAAGTATCTCAAGTGAAATAAATTATATTATAATAAAAGAACAAAAAAGAAATATAAATAAAGAATAAGTAAATTGTTAGTAATACAATAAAAATCTCAGGCGCGGTTAAACGATAGAAATTTAGATAAGTTACAAATATTCGTCATCTTCAGTTACATTAATGAAGAAATACTTTATTTTGGAGCGACTTTTGACGATTGTTGAAAGAAGTTAATAGGACCTGACGTTGTCGTCGTTGAAGGTGACGACTTCCGGGGAGATATTGTTTTCTGATCTGTATCTTCTAAAGATATTTGATCATTATCTTTCAGTTTTTTTCGTTTCGGTATAATACAAAATAGACATATTCCGAAAATCCCTAATGACATCCCAAGACCAAGTACGGCGTAAGTTAATACAGTGAACGACCACCTGAAAACCAATAAGAGAATAATAGTAGTGCCGCAACATAAAATTAATATAATACACAAAACAAGTGTTTTCTTGCATCGACCAAGATAGACAATTATAGCCAACATTGTTGTAAATAGACCAATGAGACCGGTGCATACACCTAATTGATCAAGAACATTTTTAGTTGTTTGTTGCTTAATAATCCATCCAAAGCACAATGCTATAGCGCTCGGAGTGTTACTAGGAAACTGAGTTTTATTCGAAGGATCACAGCGGAAGCTGATGGTATTCGATATTGGAATGTAACTCGTTTCATTAAGAATAAAACAATCCACTGAGTAATCAGGACAATCATCATTTGCAAGAACCCTTGTATTTTCCAAGACACATCCTTGGAAAATGAGTACAGCCGTTATAGATAGTGCTAATGCACCAAGAAAACAGAAAAATATACTAATGGCTAAAATAGACTTTTTCTTCACGACCTTCTTCTCGCCATCTTTTCCATTGCTCTTATCGTCATTTTTTCCATCGTTCTTTTCCATACTGCTTATTAACATCTTTCGTACCGTCTTTGTCATCATTTTCGTCATCATCTTCATCTTCCGCTTTGATTGGATCAATACCTATGATTTTATCAAGAACAAACTCTTTGCCTTTCTTTGAGCTAAAGAAGATAATAAATACTCCAAAAAAGACGATCAAGACAAGACTAGCCGAGATACAGGCATTAACTCCGTTATAAATTGCATATGTCCACTCCATTTGCTTGTTCGATTATAATCAAATGTGCTACTTTCAGTAAAATTTGTTTACAGCAACTTTTCTCTCGTCTCTGATGGTTACGATTACTATTGTTGTGAAATCAAACTTTTTTAATGCATTTTTCATTATTTCTTTAAATAGAAATACAATGTTTTAACATAAACATGCAGAATAAAATCTCTGTGTGCAGGCAAAATAAATGAAATGTAAACACTCCTCTATCAATATGGGTAAAAACAAAAAGTCTATTTTCATCGATGATTAAATCAATGTGTTTATACTTCATTGTTTTGGTCTCATTCCTCATGTGCACTTTTCCAAGTATACATGCACTCTTTTTTCCCGTTTTTTTCATTTTCTTTACTTCTTTTGATTCCTTTTAAAAAAACAAACACCCCACTCCTTTACTTTCATTTCCCTCATTACTTCATGATGAGCGAGGGTCATCAAACGGCGTAAGTGTGACTGCAGCTGTGGATATGGGTGGGACTTCTGGTGTATGCGTAGATCTGGGTGCGGGACTGCGTGTCGACTGTTGATGTGGGTGATGATCTGATGAAAGCGAAGGTATGGGTGTGGGTGTACATGTCGGTGGTGGCTGGGTGTGCGGGTGGCGGTGTGGACGCGACTGTGAGATTTTCATAGATGGGTGTGGGTGTGGGTGGGCGAGGGTATTCATTGATCAACACCCACACCCACCCACATCCTGGTTCGCGTCTCTATTGAAAATAACTAAACCTAAAAGGTTCAACAGTTCTCCAAGAACGAAAAACTTTAAATTTTCTTAGTCTTTTAGATAAAAAATGATCACCAAAACAAGTCTAAATCGAATCCGAGAGATTCTTATTACAGATAACACTAATGAATTTACTGATAACATTTCTGAGGATGATGAATCAAATTCTGATCCAGATTATTCTTTTTCTGATACTGAATCAGACAACACATCCACTGATGAATGTATTTCGAAAGAAGATTCATCTGATGCTCATTTTAACGATGATGATACACATATAAATGCTCAATCTGAATCAATAGAAAAAGGTGGTGTATCGTGGTCAACGCAGCGGCCTACAGTTCAAGGTCGTGTACATTTCATCAACATAATGAAGACAACACCAGGTCCTGTTACTGTAATCCAGACAATGATGGATGCTTTCAAGCTTTTCTTGACAGATGAGATTTTAAATGAAGTTGTATTACGAACGAACAAATATGCCAGGTGATACATGGATCAACGAAACCAAAGACAATTAAATGATGCAACTAATCAAACAAAATCAAAGAAATGGAAAGAACTTGATCGTACTGAATTAGAAGCCTTTCTCGGTTTGTGAATTCAAGCTGGTGTTGGTCACACTAGTCACAAATCAGTAACTGAATTATGAGATATTAGTAAAAGCCTCCCAATATATCATGCTACAATGTCATTAGAACGCTTCAAAGATCTTTTACGATTTCTAAGATTCGATGATCGTCAGCTGCGTGATAAATTTGATTATCTTACACCAATTCGAACCATATTCGAATATTTTGTGAAGCAATTACCACAACATTTCATACTAAGTGAGAATCTTACTATCGATGAACAATTAGTACCATTTCGAGATCGATATTCATTTGTACAATATATGCCGAATAAACCCAGTAAATATGGACTTAAATTCTGGGTACTTTGTGATGTTGATAGTAGGTATATATTAGCATTAGAATTACAGGGTTTCCCAAAAGTAAGGAAACAAAGTTTTTTTTTCGATCTTTTTTCTTATAGAGCGTCAGCTAGTTCTCATATTTATACCACAGATACTAGATGATATAAGTGAAAGATCTAGCACATGAACAATATCTGAATGTAGTAATTTGATCAAAAGCATACAAATATAGGATAATCAATAATAAGGTAACATGCGTGAGTTCTAGAAAAACTTTTATGAAAGCAACAGAATAGAAAAATTACACATAGCAAAGTATGTCTTTGTTAAGTCTGTGCAGTAAGAAGATTTTCACAAAAATTGCTCAATGTGTTCACCTTCTAGGTCTTTGCAAAGTTGCAGTCTCTCAGGTATTGATTGACAAGCTTTTTGGTATAATTCAATTGGTAATCTTCCCATCTATGTAATAATAGCATCTTTGAGTGCTTGAAGATTTTGGGGTTTTGTTGCTTACACATAATCTTTTATCACACCCCATAAAAAGAAGTCAGTTGGTGTCAAATTCGATGATCATGCTGACCAGCCTATCGGTCCACGTCGACCAATCCATCGATCAGGGAAGGTTTTGTCCAAGAAGCGTCGAATGGATTGTTGATAATGAGCTGGAGCTCCATCGTGCATATAAAGTATTTCTTCTAAATTCATCTGATATTCAATCGCAGGAACAATTTATTCATCAAGCATTTCCAGATAGCTGCGTCCAGTAACTGTATCACGAAAGAAGAACGTTCCAATAAGGCCTCCAGACCAAATTCTAGTTCATACAATAATGCCTGGAGCAGTAATGTCCTTGGTGATGACGATATGAGAGTTTTCTGAAGCATAGTAAACGTAGTTATGTCGATTGACGTGTCAATTCAACCTGAAAATAGCTTCATCGATCCACACAATTCGATCAGGGAACGAAAAGTCTTTAGCGACCAATTTCAGAAAGATATCAGCAAATTCGCAACGTCTCTCGAGATCATCTTCGTTTAGAGCATGCAGTAATTGAGGACGATAAGGCTTCAATCCCAGCTCCTTCATCATTAGTTGAAGACTACTTTTAGACAGATTTAAATCCAATGAAGCTCTTCTTAATGATGTTCCTGGACTTTCTTCAAAAGCTGCACGAACACGTTCTTTATTTTCATCGGTACTGACAGATCTAGGTCTGCCAGATCTGGATTCATCTTCAACACTTCCGGTTTCATCAAATTTTTGTACGAGATTCAAAATATTCTTTCGTGTTGGACGAGTTCGATCATAACATTGTTGAAACTGACAAGCAACTTCACCTGCATTCTGGTACATAGCATACCATTTTACAATTTCAATCCTAGTTCAAATGTCGACAAACGAGAACTTTCACTCATGATTAAAAAAATATGAAAAAACGCAGTTAGAACTGCAAAAAAAGAAACAGATAGTAAACAGAGAACAAAATATGAATCATCTGATAAAAGAGATGACCATTCGTATTATTTACTGCAGACGTCACCACTAGTACATATATAAATACTACCAAAGACAAGGTAGTATATGCTACGACAGTGGAAAGTATAACTGTCAAGTATGTTTCCATTCCTTCGGTAATACTATATTTGTATGCTTTTGAACAAATTACTACATTCAGATACTGTTCATGTGCTAGATCTTTCACTTATGTCATCTAGTATCTGTGGTATAAATATAAGAACTAGCTGGCGCTCTATAAGAAAAAAGATCGAAAAAAAGACTTTGTTTCCTTAATTTTGGGATACCCTGTATATCTGAGATGACGGAATGTATCAGGAATAGATATGATACAAATGGAATATACCTGAATGATCAACGAAAGGAAGAAATAAAGAATCCAAGAGAAAGCAATATGGAAATATGCCACAACAAAATGAATCCATATTGTCCTTTTTATATACAATTTACCTTAAATTTAAATAAATTATTGCTCATTTAAATTATTTTATTGCTCAATTAAACACTTATAATTCGAAAAAATTACTAAAAATTCGATATCTCAACAGCAAAGATCCAACAACTCGAATCACTCAAGAGTATTCACTTACTCACTAGACTGTTGATTTGAATATAATTCGAAGTTAAAAGCGATTTATCACTTGGAAACCTTTTCTCGTTAGTTATTAATTTGGCACATTACTATAATTGCTAAGTACAATTAGTATCAATACACATAATATTAAAATGTTTCTAATACAGCAATTACCATCTCAGAATATTGCCGAAATGCAAATCATCGAAATTCCACGATTAGACTTTCGGCAAAGAGCATAATTGAAATTGAATAATCGTCCCGAAGGTACGAGATCCTTTTTCTTTCGAGTTTTTTTGGTATTCGATGATTAGCACTTCTGACAGATTTCTCAGACGACTAGAGTATGTTGAAGCCAAAATTTCCGAGTCCGGAGTCAATCCAGCGAGTTCTAGTGGCGACCGCCACATTACTATCCAACTCTTAAATTCATCATAGTTATTTTATAGATATTAGAAAATTACATCATTTCTTTTTATTGAAAAATTATACAAGGAAAATATGCGGATATATTTAAGTAAGTTAATTGATTTTCTTTATTACTAGAAGGGAAATACTTGATAAATAAATTTGTTTTTTTAAATTATTTTCATAATATTATTCATCATCCTTTGTTTTATCGTCGATAGATGAAAAAAGCTCATTGTTCACTTGTTCAACTTGTAAATAACGTTCACCCTTTACATCTATCCAATATTTATTGATTTGTAGATGACGTTTAGACTTGGAAATTCCACGTTCAACGTCAAGTGCAATACGTGCTCGTTCTAAATGCCTTTGTTATATAAAAAATAAAAAGTAAAATAAGATAAGAAAAAAAAACAACAACAACAATAAAAATAAATTAAAACAAACCATAATTTTTTAGCATTTTGTTTTACATCTGCATATGTATCACCCATCATAGCAATAAGTAAATTTAATAAAAGAATAGTAATAACTATAATATAGATGATAAGTAATGTAACACTTGTCAATGGATATTGTCCTCCAGTATAATAATCAAGATCAAAATCACCTAATAAACCTAAAAAACATTGTTTGATACTTGATATATAACCTGGTAAACCTATAATAAATTATAATATAGATTATTTATTCAAAATATTATAAATTTATTTTTCTTATGAATAAAATATTCATTCATTAACAAAAAATTTACCATTTTCATTAAATAAAATAAAAAATGATTGTGAAAAACCAGCAAGAAAAATAATATATATTATACAAAAACGAAGAACATCATTAAATAACATTTTATATATCATAATAACAAATGGACCAGTAAATCGAAATGGCATTATAAAAAAAAACATATAACCCCATCCAATAAGAGAAGTAAAAGCAAGTATGAGGGTTTCATAATGATGTATTTCAAATAGATGAAAAATTTGTGTAATAAAAATACCAAGACAAAATGAACATGACAAAAAATTTTCAAGAAAAATAGATCCCTAAATATTATCATAAATCAATTCAACTTGGAACAATTAAGAATTAATTACTCACTGTACTATTAATATAATTCCAGAAACCTAAACTACGCATTTCGTATATTTCACGTGCACTTTTCAATAGTGCACCTGATATTACAATGAAACGACCGATTCTGGAAAGTATTTTATGAATAACACTTGAATATTTATCATTAATTAATATTGCTTTTTGATCATTTTCATCTGCTATCTAAAACAAAAACAAAAAATCATATTTTATAGTTTAAACAATATATTTTATTAAGCTACTATTATTTCTGGTCGTGTTTGTTGTATAATTGTAGTACCAAGAAAAACAAGAAGATAGAGAAATGTAATAAGAAATCGTCGAATAAGTATTCGAGAAGCAAAATATTTCCATTTTTTATCAATTAAAGATGTAATAATAGGATGTACTAATTCAGGATTATTATTTTTAATCATTACTTCAATAACACTAAGAATTCGTTGTTTATTCTGAATAAAAATCAATAGTTATATAAATATGAATATTAATTAACTTACATCATCATCAAAATCACGATCAAGTTGATCAAGAGGATGTAATACACATGAAACATTACCATAGGACCATTGTATTGTTTTACGTTCATCAAGTAACCATGATAACATTTGAGCTCGACCTAAATCAGCTGCTAGAGTTAATGGTGTTAAACCATCTTTATTTAAACGATTCCATAATTTCGTATGTTTCATTAATTTTGACTTAATAATTATTTTACTATCGTTAATTATCTGTTGTTCTACCCAGCGTGCTTTGAATTTAGCATAAATTCCAGTTAAATTACAAATAACAAGCATATGTAGAATAGTATTATCATTACTGTCCGTCTGAATATGAATATAAAGAAAATAGTATAGAGTTTCTTTAAAATAATGTTCTAATAAAGAAAAGAAAAATTATTTGAAAAAGTTTTTCCCATATCTCTATCGATTAAGATCTAAACGAAAATCAGTATTATTCAGACTAGAAATGTACAAGATTAAAATTTGAACATATGATATGCTAAACGAATATTAGAGAATTTCTTTTTATTATTTAAAATCTGATACGAATAAATTTCAAAATAGTTTTTTTTCTAGACCGAGGACCAATAACACTTGGTCCTATACATCTCTAATTCAGATATTTTATTATTAATTTGTTGCATTCAACATTTTCTTCTTTACTAACCGCATCCATATCAGCACCATATTTAAGTAAAATTTCAACAATATCCCATTGATTGGTACAACAAGCAAATCCTAGTGGAGTTTCACCATAATACGATGGTTGACCTCTACAAAATGTAAATATAAAATATACGAAAGAAAAAAAGTAATTTACATTTTAAAGAAGTCACCTGTAGCAGTTGCTGTCAATAATTCTTCTCGATAAGATTCTAAATGATTATTATAAAGTAACCATTCAACCATAGTTGGATTACGTTTAACAATAGCAATATGAAGAATATTTTCACCATAATATCTCTAGAAATAATCTATATGTATCATACAAATAAAACAAAACAAAACAAAAAAATAAATATAATTATATTTACTGGTTTATTATAAATTTGTGTTACAATAATTGGAAATCTTATAATAAGATCTCGAGCAATTTCTAAATGTGCGTCTGTTCCACATAGAAATAACATATGTATAGGACATTCACCAACCGCTCCTCTTGTATTAATAACATCTGGATCAATATCGATTAAATGGTCAATAGCAGTCTTATCTGCATTAAATACAGCTGTCCATATTGTATTATCGGTGTACATAAGTTCAGTTTGTTGTTCAACTTCCGACTGATTCGAATCAGTATCGGCATTTGTTACTGCGAAAATTATATCGTCTAGCATATTAATCATTCAATAAATTCATACCATGTAGCATTATACTTGTGAAATTTGAAGAGAGTCGACTTTACTAACAGTCTCGTGTTTTTTTTTGCTCTCTTATCTTTTGTCGTATGTCAAATGGATTCTTGCTTACCACATGTCACATATAATATTATATTCATAAAATGAATAAAAAACGTATACCTGAATATATTTTAGTCATATTTGCTATTCAATGACGTTACAAAACTGGTTCTATTATTCTTTTTTTTTTTTCATTCTGTTTTCTTTTCTACTTCATTTAGCCTTGGGATTATTTACTAAAGAAGCCGATCAAGCCTAAAAAAAAAATAGAATAAATCTTTTTTTTTTTTTTTTCTTCTATTATCACACATAAAATACGTTAGACATCATTGATTTCTACCGTATTTTTATTATTGGTTGTTAAATATAGAAAATAATAATTCATCATAGGAATATCATTATTGCGTATATTTTACTCTTTTAACGAATACATTTAAAAAACAAAAATATTACAATAAAGAACGACAAGAATTAATGATATTTCGAAATACAAGGTGGCCCATAAATAATAAAACTCCGGTAAGAAATTTAAATATCTCCATTACGGCTTGGACAAACGAACTAACTTGTTTATCAATGATAGAGACATGTTCAAAGTTTATATCCATAAAGATATGCCTAGAGAGACCCTTTGTTAAGTATCACTATTGATCTCAGCAAAAAAAATTTACTTTTTCACATATTGAGGAAAAAAAGCAATATAAAGACTGGCACAAAAATCACTTTGCCGAAAAAAGATTCAGTATCTCTACTATGGCTTGCAGAAACAAGCTGATTTTTTTATCAATAATACAGATATCCTCAAGCTTTATATCCATATAGACATGCTTAGATAGACCATTTGGTAAATATATTGCTTTTTCCCTATATGTGAAAAAGATAAACTTTTCCTTTAGTTCAAATATTTGAAATTTTGATGCAAGCAAAAACAAAAAAAAACAAAAAAGGACAAACATTGATAAGTATCAGCAAGAAATTTTCCTATCTTTTTGTCATATAATCATTTAATCATACATGTTGTATAAATTAAGTTTTACAATGATCATATGATCTTCGCATTTTATCGAAGTCTTGTATCTGTTTATTGTATAGTATAAACAAGTAATAGAATAATAAAAACATCAATCGATAGAAGAATTAGTTGTGTATCAAGAAAAAGTTGCATTATTATAATTAATAACATTTGTGTAAAATAGTCAATATGCATTGTTTATATGTGCGCCGACACATTGCTTGTTTTAATTAATGTCAAATATCTGTACGATGCATATAATTACAAATAGATTGTTTTATTTAATGTTTCAGATATAATTGTATCAATATGATATTTTTCTTTAAGAAAATGAATGAAAAAACAAAAAAGATATTAGTACATATGTCATATTGAATAAGAAATCTAAGGATGATATAGATTGAAATGTCTCACAACAATCAATCGCAGATAATTTCATAATAACAAAAAAGTTCGAGTTTCTCCCTTCTTGATTGTCTATTAATTAATATCTTCCCATCATTATTAATATACCTATCAAGCATGATAATATTGAATTATATGTTTCGTAGCAACTAGCTACAAAAGATTTTTTTTTCATTATTAAATCGACTGTTAACAGAACTTCATAGATTCTGTTGCCTAATTATTTTCTTGTCAAAAGTCAAACAAAATAGAAGTAATTCAATCAGTCTGTTAACACTCATGACTAGCATATTTGATTATGGATCAAGAAGTTTTTAGAGTGTATTGTGTTTTATTTGCAAGAAAAGGAAGAAAACAATATCTCGGTCAATCATTAAAAGATATTATTGATTATTTATCGAGCTATGATAAATATAAATATTATAAATATTCTGTTATTCATATCTAAATTTAGATGTCAAATATTGATGTTGTCTGTTCATTTTCTATCATGAAGTTAATTAAAACTTATGTACGTAATAGGACAGATGATAAAAGATTTAGTAATTTGGCTACTGTAAATATTCATAAGAAAATCGTTCAACAAGTAGACATCGAAAATCCTACATATGGATAAAATCATTTGTTAGCGACATGACTTCGGAAAATTAAAATATGTGTATCTCGAGATAATTAGCTCTCTTAGATCTGATTTTTTATATATTGCATGGACATTAAGTTACTCTAGATACCCTTAAAAAATTAGCGCTATGGAGTTTTGTTTACAGGAGTTACTGGTAAAAAAACTACCGTTAGCGACGTGACACAAAAAAGGACGTCGATTTACATTTCGTGTATTTTAGTTTTTAATAACTCCCAATTCATGCACAATTGTAGAAAACTAAATAGGGCATTTCGTAGACGACTTCTAAGGTTATAAAGTCTATATCCAAAATTTTTCTGAGCATGTCTAGATTTTTCAAAAAGACCGATTTATTTGTCGTTAGCGACGTGACGCAGTGCGAGTACACAATCGAGATGATGCTCTTGTAACCAACTGAAAAGTTCAAAATCGGCTTCAAACGTTACAAATCATTACTCAGAGTCCCTAGATGATGATAAGAGAAAGGTTTTCGCTTCTTCACTTTTCAGAGTCTCTAGAAAACCGCTTTTTCGGAAGAAAATTTTTGGAGTCCAATCTTGCTGAAAATTTTATCATAGATGCAGCTTGTGCCCTAGATCCTATTCGGAAGTTTTTAGATTTTTTTTCTCATATGGTGAGCGAGATATTCGCTAATTACTTTTTAATTAATAACCATATGAAAGACCAAACATTCTCACATAAGCCTATGTCAAAAGAATTTATTCAAAAAATTCACTCTGATAAAGAATCAGTCTCAAATGAAAGGTGCTAATGTCCTATTCTGCCTAATTTTGCCGATATTCTTCTTTTTGCTATACAGAATAACAGGTGTGCCAAGATGAATGGCCGCGTTTTGCATTTCAATTTTCATTCACTTAACATACTGTATTAAAAAAACAAAATCAAATGGTCAAAATTCTGAACAATCAAATTTTAGCCGTGCGAAAATTTATCACCGAGAATTTTACTTTTTTTAAAAGCAATTACAATAAGCTTTACTGTATAAATTGTAGAGCTTTTCACACTGCATCTTTTGGTGTATTTTTTTTTTGATACAGCATGTTAAGTGAATGAAAATTGAAATGCAAAACGCGGCCATTCATCCTGGCACATCCGTTAGTTATCAAATATGAATATAAATAATTAATGTCTGATTTTTTTTAAAGTACCAACGACTATTTCTTGAATAACTTTTCAACGGTTCAAGTTATAGAGGTCGAGTTTTCACCGTTAGAAAGAGTAAGGTGGGGGATGTCGATCTGTATAAAAATCATTAGGTTTACGAGTCTTTTGTATGGTTGTTTGCAGTCAAATATTTTATTGGTTATCTATTTCTATGAGTTTTCACGACAAGTTAACATCTAATTAGATCAAAATGTAGCCCAAATCGTCCTGTATTCATGCTAAAATTTTCACATTTTAATATCAAACCGTAAGAAAATAAACTCAAGAATAAAGTGCAACGATTTGTAAATTTTAGCACAAATACAGGACGATTTGGGCTACATTTTGGTCTAATTAGATGTTAACTTATCATGAAAACTCATGAAAATAGACAACCGATAAAATATTTGACTACAAACAACCATACAAAAGACTCGTAAGCCTAATGAATTTTATGCAGATCGACGTCCCCCTCCCCTCTCTTGCCCTTTCCAACGGTGAAAACCCGACCTTTAATAACTTGAACCGTTGCAAAGCTATCCAAAAAATAGTCGTCGGTAATTTTTAAAAAAACTCGACATTAATATCATATCTATTGTAGACAAGCAAAAGTCTTATCAAAATTTGATGGAAAAAATATAATCCCGTTCCTATCAAAAATCCTATGAACGTACCTATTTCCGAGATTTACTTAATAGTAATTGCATTTTATATTATTAAAAGAAGTCAATCAAATATAATATTAATAAATTAATAAAATTACAAGAATCTCGACAATATATTCCCGAAAATTCAAAAAAAAAATGAAAGAATTCTTAATTAAACCTATAATAATACTTTCTATTTCATGGACACCAATAATGACATTCTGTAAATTGTATTTTTCTCTAAAATAAAAATACCATTCGCTTCTTTACTTTCGTTGTGATCTTTACAAGTACTATCGATTTATTCAATAAATGTATGTATATATGAAAACAAAACCTTTATCTTAAAAATGCGTTTGTTCAATCAAGTGTTTTCACTTCACCATTAAGTATATCATCGTCTTCTTTTTTTGAATTTCTAAACAGCGATTCATCAGATAATTTGGAAACTTTTAGAGTGAATAGATTTTGATGAGTAGAACAACAGTTGTCATAAACGCAAAGTTTTCGGATGCTGTCTTCTATGAGATATTGAGCTTGGAATGATAACACCTTTTGTCCTTCTACCTTCTCTCAGATGCAATCGTTGATCAAACTAAAAATTCTTTTTATAAGACACTATTTCCGTCGAATTTGCAAAAAGTTGTCAAAAATCACTAGAGCAATATTTTTTTAAATAAAAAAAAACCAGTATTCTCGCTGAATAGTATTTACTACATTTAAAAAAATTCCATTTTGATGTCTCTGATCATGTCGAAGGAATAGAGGCAAAACATTACTGGTTTTGAGGAAAAATGTAAAACACAATTTAATTTCCATGTTCTCGTAAATACTCATCATTTTTCGTTTGTTATTGAAGTTTTTTACAGGTTGTCCGAAAAAAAAACAACATATCGATTAAAAGTTAATTTTTTTTCTTCTTATAATCATATATTTGTCAAAAAAGATATATATGTTGTCGCTCATTTATTCATTCATTATTTTTGACAATTATGTATTTGTATTGCTCTTAATCTTTTTTTATCAATTGATTTATCATTGAAAAGTTGAATATGAAATAAGTCAATATCTTTCTTCTTTTTTTTTTTCTTCTCTAAAGTTTACTTTAAAAATAACTGTTATAAATGTAATATTTAACAATTCGTTTTATTTGAATTGCTAAAACGTTAATTAACATTTTTAATAGTTCGATAGAACAGATTGCCTATATAAAAGCGAAATTTTATTGATAATTTTTTAAATAAAACAAGTTATTTTCTCTCAAAAAGAAACTAAATTAGATCATATTTTGAAGAATAATATATTAAAAAAGATAGAAGATAAAACAAAAGTATGGTTTGATCGTCAATATATCTAAAATTCATTTAAATCTAGCTCAATATCCGGACATCCACTTCAAGTATTCTTTTACTGAACATATTTCAACTAAGTAACTTATTAGGTATCCAATGAATATCTTATCTTAAAATACATAAATTCCCAATAGTTTCCATACAAAACTGATGTAGCATACTTTTTCGGATATGATGCTTACAATACTTTCGTAGGGTACCATAGGCGGCGCACGATCAATTTTGTAAAATACGATCTAAAATTAGTATTGAAGTATATAGAATAGAAATGTAGATCTCCCTGATAGGCACCTTAGCAACGTCCCTACTTTTTGTCATAGATTGTGAGAGACGTTGTTGATATACACGGTTGGAAAAAATATTATTCCAGGGGGGTAACGCTATAATTTCAAATAGAAGACATAATAAATTTTATATCAAATGAAAGCTCGTTAAAAATGGGGTTTATTGGTATTAAATAGTGAGGGTTATGAAAACCTTTTAATGTCGAGCTTAATAAATTTTCAGAAATTTTATACTTTTTTTGGGATGGAAAATTAAAGTACTAGTGATTCAAGAATGGAGTAAAATGTTTTTCTTGAATATTTTTACACGGTTCGATAGAGCTCGTCGAGCTCTATAAAACTGTATACATTAAAAAATTTTTAAGACACTTTTTTTGCGATAAAAAATTCAAAAAACTATTTGGAAAATCTTAGAAAGCATGAAAAAAATTCATATTTTTCATGTGGAAGAACAACACTTACTTTTTCTATAAAAGTAGCTTTTTTCATTGTTTTTACTCCGTCAGACGTTTCGAAACATACTCATTAGACGCAGCTTTTCACACTGCATCGAATGAGTATATTTCGAGACGTCTGAGGTAGTAAAAACAACGAAAAAAGCTGCTTTTATTGAAAAATTGAGCGTGTTTCTTCAATTTGAAAAAAAAAAGAGTTTTTAAATGTTTTTGAGATTTCCCGAGTAGTTTTTTGAACTTTTTATCTCAAAAAGATGCCTCAAAAATTTTTTAACATGCACAGTTTTGTAGAGCTCAACGAGGTCTATCAAACCATGTAAAAATATTCAAGAAAAAAAATTGACTTCATTTTTGAATCAGTGGCACCTTAATTTTCCAACCCAAAAAAATATAAAATTTCTGAAAACTTCTTAAGTTTGACATTAGAAAGTTTTTACAAGCCTCACTATTTAGTATCAATAAACCCCATTTTTGACGAGCTTTCGTTTGATATAAAATTCATCATGTCTTCTCTTTGAAATTATAGCGTCACCCCCCTGGAATAATATTTTTTCCAACCGTGTACAATCAAAGACCGTTTAT